TCAATGGTTCACTAACTCTTACTTCTATCAATTTGCGGTGTAGACAATCATCATCCAAAGTCGTCAGTGGACTTCTAAATCACTCCCAAACTTGTTTAAGCCCATGGGTCCCAACTTCGTATTAGAACTTCGAGAAACTTCATGAGTGGATAGATCAACTTAGTCTAGAAATGGACCAATCAAAATTTACTTTGTGCTAATTACGACTACAGTTAGATTGACAAAGACCATCGATTTTGTATGTCCTTCACACGTGCTTTTGTCCTCATTTATGGACATTGTAGTCAGGCTGCCCACGAGTTTAGGGCCTTATATTTTCGGATCTTGTGGCTGAAAACATGTTATGCTCGTCTCAACCTGTCTCCTTCATTAATTAGCCAGGTCGAGTAATAAACTAGGAAGTTTTAGAAAGTTGATGACTGACAGTTGATACTCGTACACCAGTTAATGCCTATAACATATGGTGTGTTTCAAGACAATTTACCGACAACAATAAGTTAGGAACTACAATAAGACCTGGCTCACAGCAAGTAATTAATGGTCACTATATATTAACTAAATTGTTAGTGTGTAGAGATTGAGTTATTCTGAAGGCCGCCTTAGCAGTTAGTGAGACAAACAATTACGCTCCTTTATTTTGTGAAAAAATACCTCCTCAGCCGACGTACTACAACTTGATTGGTTATCTAAGCGGTTGTCAGGGTGGCCATTAAAGTCGCTCGGATTATGCTCTATTTCCGCTTAAGAATATCTATCTACCAACAATAAGTAAGATGCAACTGTTGTCTAAGAAATAACTGCAGTCATTTGTATGAGCAAACTTACTTTTCAGACTTCGAAAAATCCACCAATCTTGCAATAATATCTACGATGATTTCACTTCAGAATGACTCCAGACGTGGCTATGTTGTCATTTATTTAACTACGAATCTTACTTTGATGTGAGGCATCTGAATGTTCGATTCAAAATCATCCAGTGTATATACCATTCAGGATATGGAGTCGATTCGCCTACTTTCCAAGAAAGCTAAGAGGATTTATAGATTGAATGAATATCCCCAGCGGTTTTCTCCTGTTTCAACACTCAAACAACTTAGACTGCAACATTTAGATTTCCAAGAATTCTATGTCTTGCTGTTACTCATCCGTCTACTTATAAACTATTAGACGTCTTCATTCCGAGATAGTAATGACTCCGCAGTAGTTAGCACACAACTCAACTATGGATCAAACTCAGGGTATTCAGGTCCCATGGCGGACGCATCAACCATTCAGCCACTGGATCTGAGTTCAACGGACCACAGTCTCCTACTTCTGTCAGTTCGCAATATAGCGCAGCTGTCAACCAAGGCCTTCATTAGCATCCACTTCACTTCCGACTGGTTGACCCCCATAGGTCACGGTTTCTCATCTGAAGTTCAGAGTATCCATCTCAAAGCATCTCGCTAATCAGTACTATGCAGTAATATATATTTTGAGGTTAAAAGGGATTTCATTTTTAAGGTAACACTCATTACAGGCTAACGTCCATTGGAGAACCATGGAAAACCTGGGAACAGTGGACAACTGTTTCGTCCTAGTAAGAGACTACTCAGCAGCACACATTCATGAATCGGTTAGGGATAATACTAGCTCCTGTCAGTCTATGATGAATACTAACTCAAAAATGAAATCTCCATTGACCTCAAAATACATTTCATGCAGTCCTCAGTTCTGAATTATGACGATCGTTATTCACCAATAGCTTTTCGTGATCATTGGGTTTGCAGTGGTAGAGAATTCAGTGAATTGTAGGGAATAATATCGTCATGCGCAGATCATATAGTGGCTATATATGTTATTCCTTACTGTAATAAATCGATAACAACAATGGTTACCCCGATTATGAACATATGTTGGTACAAAGATTACTCTATGACCTCCTTCGATTTATCTTATCCGCGTTTACCAGTTTGTCAAAAAACCAGTGCGACTTCAAAAGGTATCATAGGTACAAAGTCTGTTTCCTCGGTGAGGAAGAGTCCTCTCCAAAATAAATAAAGTGACTCTTCATTGAATTATTTGCTTTCAAGATCTTAAAAGACTTCATGGATATTTGTCGAATAGTGATTCAAAATCGACTAGTTAGTCACAAACAGATATAGTGAATTCAACATTTTCTCATTCATCCTCACTCTCGTTTACTGCATTCCACTCATTTTCACTCATTTCCCTCACTTTCATCATCTCCCATCTTCCTGCACTGTGTGTAGCTTGTTGTGTTGATCTCAATGTGGTGTCGTGTGATGTGATGTGGTTTGGCAACGTGAATCACTGTGCAGTAATCCCGGGTCCAATCCCATCATCAACATGTTTATGCTTCATGTTTCACTTGAATTCCTAACTCCTCGTAGCTAACAGATTAATTTAATACACATGTGAATTTGCCTCAACTTTTCATCATTATCTCAACAGAAATATTTCTGACAATCTTCCAATTCTCACATTCATTCTGTTACCAGTACTTATTCGACCTTGTCCTGACAGTGACCTCAACTATTTCTAATCCATTCCAATCGATATTTGCCTTACTTTCACTTACATGATTCTATTTTAACACATATTCATCACCACTTCATTTTTGGGTAAAATAACTACTATTATTTGTCCCTTGGGGTCATAGTGGAACACACGGCTTCACTAGCACGCTTCAATTCCACTCTGTTCGCTGAAATCTTTTCAACCTGGCTCCACCACTGCCCACAAGCTTCCATTTCTTCCTCACACCTTCTCCTCCATGTCACCCTCGCCTCAGACGCCCAACTCGTCATCCCCCATTTGCGTTCCACTCGACGGTCTGGCGCATAATGTTCCAAAACCCTCTTCTCAGTGCATACCCAACCCAACCCAATCCAATCCATATCCACTTCCTTCCAGTGCATATTTCTTGACCGATATGTTCTTGGTTAGTTCGTTGCCATACCAGAGTTCCTTGTTGCTTATTCTTTATGGCAATCCATATGAGCTTCAGTAACGAGACAGCGTAGGCAGTTGTTGATGAATATCTGTAGTTTGTTGGAAATGCCTTTCGTAAGGCGCCAAGTTTCTGAACCATATATGAGCACTGACTTGACTGAATTGGTGTTGAAAATCCCGATCTTGTTCACGCTTTATCCGGAGTGCAGATCTCCACACTGGTTTCATTTTAATGAACGACAGTCTTGCTGTCTTTCCGATCCTGGCTTTGACATCCTCGTCTGTGCCTTTGCCGCCTGTATTTGAAACAGTGCTGCCTAGATAGGTGAACGAGACTACTTCCTTCAAGTTTCTCCCGTTGATGATTATTCGAGCTTGTTGTTGTTGTTGTTGGTGGTGGTGGTGGTGGTGGCGTTGGTTGGGTATCATCATCACCTCCACCTCTGTGTTCTCAACCTTCGCTTGAAGTCCTGTATTCGCTGCCTCACCTTTTCTGTCAACTTGTTAGTTCTCGCCTGTAGATCTTTTATTAGTGTGACATTAGACACAGGTCATCAACGAAATCCAATTATTCTGGGATCTTTTACCTGGTCCACCCAGCGTATCTCCCTCTTCTCACTCCTCACTGTTGTCTGCTGCATGATCCGGTCCCGTGCACTACAGTCTGCAACATCATGGGTGATAGCAGGCAACCTTGTTTTACTCCTGTCTTCACTTCACTTCAAAGGCATCATTGAGCTTCCTTTGTGAATTTCTCGGCATGTGGCGTCTTCACATAGTTGTTGAATGAGGCGGATAAAATTTTGCGGTATTCCGTAGTATTGAAGCAGTTTCCAAATTGCCTCTCGGTCGACGCTGTTGAAGGCCTTTACAACGTAGATGAAGTTGAGGTGATGTAGAGAGTTGACTGCCATTCTGTACTCTGTTCTATGATGATGCGTAAAGCAGCGTTGCAATTTCGTCGGCACATGATTTGTACTTCCTGAATACAGCCAGCCAGCCTGTTCCGGTTGTAATTTTGAATCCAGCGCCCGTTTAGTCTCTCCAGGATCATCCGGAGTAATATTTTGCTTGCCTTGGGTGGACAGGGACAGATACGTGATCCCGTGCCTGTTCTTGCACAGACTTAGGTCGCCCTTCTTTGGGAGTTTGACAAGGTAGCAATTCTTCCAGTCAATCGACAGGTACCTTTCCTTCTTTCCAGACCTTCTGCAACAGGAGTGGTGTGAGCATGTCATCTGTAGAAATATAATCAGATGAAATGTTAATTATTTTCACCTCATTCTTAGAGGTAAGTTCATTCTCCTATTTTAAAGTGAATAGATCCATGTACATTTATCTCAATTTCAATCAAAAATGTTATCTATTCATGTACATGGCGTTCCCAAGATAACATAATTTTTTAAAGTTTGAGTCTCGCAAGACAAACACCAAATGATTATTCAACTAGTTACTCGATGTTACAGTAGCTCGTATGAAATTCTTGTTTGTTGAATTTATATCTGTCTCTTAACTACAGACATTCAGGGAACGTAGAAAAATCCTCACCTCACATCTCATTTCTTACACAACCCTTACTAATTCATTATTATTAACCGATTAACCAGTCATGCATAGGCATGCATCCTTCCTTCTATGCCATGGTATCATGTGACCTGAAATTCAACTCCAGTTTCCCCTCAATTTCTCACCTAATGTCAGTAGTAAGCGTGGATATGCTCGTTCACCTAAACGGCCAACAAAACTCATAAGCTTCTAATCCTCCTATCACAAGTCCACCAGAAGAACAAGGTCACCTTGATAACATAGCTTCATCACGTGCAAAGTCTCAGACTGAACCAATAGAAATTGAATAAGTCTGAGCCAATGATGTAAAAGATTTAACTGGTTTGTGATTGGCGAAATCAATTTTGTGGTCATCGTATGTCTAGAATTTTGCAGTATATAAATCGATGAGACGAACATTTAGATAATATTGGATTAGTTGAGGCTTTAGTTATTCATTTCTGTAGTAGTTGTGATTGTGATTTTGGTTTTCGTTGAATATGTCGTCTGGCAAAAATGACAAGGTGGTTAGCATTCCTGTGAATCGTGAGTCGCGATCATTCGAGAGGCAAAGACGTGACTTGTTGACGGGTTTGGAACATGGAGGTAGCAGTGGTCGTGAGAACTCTATTGCACCATACCATGACGACTGGCCGAGCACAGTGGACAACTGGATCAGCTCAGCGTGGAGAAGATGGGATGAAGACATGCGTCGTATGAGGCGAGGGATGTTCGCTCTGTTGGTGAGTTTTAATATTCAGATGTAAGTGATGAGATAGATGAGTAGCATTAAATAGGGGGTGTATGTCTGTTGTGACTTTGGTGATTATGCCTACCTACTGGAATGACTAGAATAATTTCGTTGTTGTTGTTGTTTGTTAATCGAGAGGGAACTGTTTGTGTTTTCTGTTTCAGCCAGTGGACGACTTTGGCGTGTCAGCACTGCACGATCCATTTGCCCTGATGCGTCAGATGGAGCACCACATCGAGGATATTCGAGACAGGATGGGTTCATTGGACGTGCCGTCGACTGGGTCATTGACTGACTTCCTGAAGGACGCATACGAGATAGGTGAAGATGGGAAGGTGAGTTGTTGGTGTTGGGTGGTTTGTGTAGTTGTGGAGGGATTGTGAAGTGACCATTGAGTGTTGCTTGTCCCTGTGTAGGTGCATTTCAAGGTGAGATTCGATGCGAAAGGCTTCGATGCGGGCGATATCAATGTGACATCGAGTGACAACCGTGTGACTGTGCATGCGAAGAAGGAGACGAAAAGTGATGGTGGGAGATGTTCTCGTGAGTTCTGTCGGATGGTGCAGCTTCCTCAGAGCATCGAGCATAATCAACTGAAATGTCGTCTGACAGATGTAAGTCAATGAACCTGATTTTGTCCTTGTTGCTTTGTGTATGTATCACTTGTAGCTGTCTGGCGGTTTAGTGAAAGAGTAAATGTTGATCAGTGTGACTGAGTATAATTCATTCGTATTAGATTGTTGTGTATTCAGTGTGGCAGAGTATTATTTATTGGATGACGTTACGAACAGAATATGTTGCTAATATTCGAGTGAAAGGAATGTGAAGAATGAGTTGTGGTTGGAACGTGATCCAGTGAACAGTAGTGTATGACTGTGTGGCATAAGAACTAAGTTGTGTAATTATGGAATTATCTGTGTGATTGAATTGTTTCTCATGGTGTTTGTTTGTGTGTTTGTTTCAGGATGGTGTTTTGATGCTGGAGGCGCCTGTAAAGGTTTCCGCGAACCAGTCACTGACGTTGAATGAGTCCGGTCAGGTTGGTGTGCGACCGAAGCCGGATAATCAGATACAAGCAGTACCTGGGTCTAAAGCCCTTGCGGTGAGAGGTAAGTGTTGTGAGGATTTGGTTGAAAGTTGGATGTAGATATTTTGTTGTTATTGTTTTTGTATGAGTGGTGAGAGAGGTGTTTTGGTTTGTTTCTTTGTTTAGGTGTTCAGGGTCCAACAGTTGTGGACGATGGTTCGGGTGGTAAACGATTGCATGTGGAGGCTGCAGTGGATCCTATCTACAGGCCTGAAGATTTGTGTGTGAACGTGGATTCGAACCGTGTGGTAATCAGTGGACGTCATCATAAGGAGGAGAAACATGGTGGATCTGGGAAGGCGAGTTCGTATGCTGAGTTCAGTCAGTCATATGCAATTCCGGAGACAGTGGACCCGTTATCTGTTTGTGCTCAGGTAGTTGGGAACACATTGGTGGTAGAAGCGCCGTTGGAGAAGCGAATTGAAGTTAGCCGTTGAAGCGTAATGATAATGAGGGAGGATTGAGATGATGATGAACATTGAATTTATGTGGTGTTGTTTTTTTACTCAATAAACTGTTGTTACTTCTCTAATTTGACTTTGAGTTATTGTTATTCGTGAAGATTTTCTGTCGTGTGAGTGACTTTGGTGAATATTGTTGGGTTTTGATGTCTGGGATGTGTAGTGTGGATTGAGGGGTGGTTTGGAGATGTTGTTGATGTGGATTGTTACAGTGTGCAGATGGTGGTGTGTTGGTTTTCTTATTTATTGATAGTATAGGGGAGTTGTCACTTCTTGGTAGACTAAGTTGGTGTTTTGTTGGTAGTTAGTTTGATGTAATGTAGAATGTTAAGTGGCTTCTGTCCAAACTTCTGTGTACTCCGCGAATTGCAGTTCCGAAGAGTTAAGTTGTAGTTATTCGTTGACATACAAGAGGAAAGGTAGTGAACGTAGGGTTATTCCTCGAAGGACTCCACTCACCACGGGTTTCTACTTGGATAGTGTCCGGTTAACCCTCACTGTTTGCATTGTATCGTACGGAAACTTTCTAATCCACGCCCGCAATGCAGCAGCAAACTTGAAAGAAGAGAGCCTTCCTAATAATTTCAAATGACAGCGAAGTTGCAGTCAGTGTTTCTAAACAAAGAAGGCTTTGAATACTTTTCAAGTTTCGTGTACATCTTAGGTGTAGGAGTAAATTGTGACTATCTCAACGAATGATGACGTTCGCCGTGCATCTTCTGTGTTCAGAGTATTAGGTTGGAGGAAGTGTGGAGGAATAATTTGGAAGTGTGAGGTAGAACTGAATGAATTTTAGTACAATATTACTGATGTCGTTTTACATAGTAATCGAGTAGGTGAATTTATTGATTTCGGAACCTCATTATGTGCTAGTATATGTACGCATCCATTGACAGGACAGCATATTAATTCGATTCATCAGTTCGGTTAGCAGTTTCTCTTATTTCTGTCCGTTTCGCTTCCTCTCCTGATTTGTTGCCAATATACCGTTGTACATATAAGCAGAACTCTCATAACAGTGCCTCTTGTAACTTCCAACCAACCAATTCTCAGCAAATATATTCTAGATGTTTATCGGTTCCTTCATACTTTAATACTGATGCCTTGACAAGTATCGCTCTGGACAATTTGCATCAACCATTACCAGGTTTCATTTCAGTGGTATTCGCTACACGCACTTACTGGAATAAGTACACATAAGACGGATTCAAGTAAACCATAGCAGATATTTTCCTATCACTTATAATCATGGTGAGGCAATCACCGTCTGAATGAACATACTTGAAGGCGGAAGGTGGTGTCAGACGATCAAGCGAGATATCGGTTTAAGTAAGTTTCAGTTATGAGGATAGTTGGCCTGTGTTAATCCTAGGGGATGTCTCACGGAGGAACTAGTTTCTCGTTCAATGCGTTGGATGTTGATGAGGACGACACGATGGGAGAAACGCAGACTCACACTAGGTTGGTTCGGTCGTGGTTTTTGGATTTATTTGTGATGTCCTTGGAGATGGTCATTCCTAGCAGGGTAGGACAGATGGAACTAGTTAGTACTGAAGTCATTATCAAGGATACGGAATGGTAGTATGAGGTCTTACTGTCTATTGCGGTAAGACATTGGGAATGAGTTTAACCGATCTTGTTGTTCCTCATGAGATAGATTCGAATGGTGCGACCACAAGCTGCTTAGTACATGCTATTTGAACACGCTCGAGTACGTCGGCATCCCTATTTAGGCATGGGCTGGCCACCTAACTGTAATATTCCAAGTGAGGTCTAACGTAAGTCGAATAGAGTATTCTGAGCATATCGTGATGAAAACTTTTGAAAGTGTTGCGGATGGACCATAATACACAGAGGGCCTTTACTGCAACTGCACTACAGTGGGTTGAGGTTTTCAAATTATGACCTAAGTTTTTCAGTTCAAAGACTGGAAGTGGTGGTGTGGCATCAACGGAATAGTGGGAACAACTGCTATTACCAATGCACATCATCACACTCTTACTAGAGTTGATTTCCAGACACCAACGTTTGGAGCAACCTAGTAGTTCATCCAAATCCGCATGAAGTGTACACCTGTCACTGCAAACTCTTGCGTAATCGGTGAATAGCAGCACCGAAGAGTTGAACACTTGTAGTAAGTCGTTGACATATAACAATAAAGGAAGTGAACCTAAAGTTATTCCTTGCGGAACTCCACTCATCACAGGTTTCCACCCGGACAGTATCCGATTAACCTTCACTGTTTGCCTTGTACCGTACAGAAAGTTGCTAATCCAGGCTTGCAATGCAGCAGCAAACCCGAAAGAGGAGAGCTTTCCTAATAATTTCACATGTGACATTTTATCGAATGTCTTACTGAAGTCGATAAACACGACATCTATTGTCAGCTTACAATCACGAGTTGCAACCCATTCCTCTCTCATGATGAGGAGGTTTGTTAAACAGGAGGGTCCAGTACGAAAAGTGTGCTGTTGTCGCACCAATATTTTGTTTGATTCAACATGTTTAAGTAGCTTATCACGAATTATCTTTTCTAAAGCCTCAACAACTGTGCTCGTCAGACTGACAGAGCGATCGATGGTAAGACACCAGTTGGGGACTACCGGCCTTAAAAACTGGTCTGATTATGGCATCTTTCCAATCTCTACGGAGGGGAGTCTGAGATAGGGACATTGGAAAGATCAGTGACTGGCTCAGAAACAATGTCCGTCAGCAAAGATAGCAGTCTGGGGTGTAACTCATGAGGACCAGAGGAATTTCCAGGTTTGAAATTAATGAGCAACTGTAAGACTATTTCCTTCGTCATGAACACTGTATCCATTGGTGGAATAGCGTTGGACACCATAAGTGAGCACTTCATTTAGGAATTGACTGAAGTAATTCGATTGACATTCAGCTTTGGAGAGGTTGGATTCGGCTAGACGTTTGGACTTTCCACCCATTATCAGAGATGAAATTCCACATTTCCTTTTAGTCCTTATTCTAATGGATGCGGACAGTGTTTTGAGGCAGTTTTGGCAATCGCTTACAAGTTGTTTCTCGCAGAATATTCGAGACTGTGTAACCAAAATTTTGCAGAGATTACGGATTTAACAGTACCCAGTCTTAAATGTTTCCAGTCCAGTCCAGTCTAATCCAATCCAATCCAATCCAGTCCCATAAACCGTTCCTCACTCCTCATCATTTCTCAGTGTGTTGATTCATGTACGGAGGGTGACATTAGGATGTTCGTGTTGTCGACCACTGAATAAATGGCGTCGTTACCTCTTGAAACAGAATTCGAAATCTATCTAATATATTCTGGATTGATTAGTCCTTGTCGACGGTTCAGTCCTTACGAACTGCGTTATGCCCTTACATTTGAAATTTCTGTGCACGAAGCATTAGGTCTATGGGAATCAATGTCATAATCTAACTGATACGATCGAAAACCGAAAGTTCGTACTTCATGATCACTGTTAGCTAACATCGGGGAGTATCGTAGATCCATAATGTCTCTCTCTATATTGGTAATTTAAAAGGAAATCTAATAACGAGAGGCTTGTGTTCAAGATGGAATCTATCCTTCGCACAGGTTACGTTTTGAACTAGAACAGATTGTAGTACAGTTAAAAGTAGGTCATTTGGGAGGGAACTGGCTGAGGCTAAGACTGTTAGCTCCGTCCAGTTTATGTGTGAAGTATTCAGATGCCCAACTATTAGGCAGGCATGTGTTGCTTCTATTCCAGTAATGTATATGGGTTAGGACGAAGTCATTTGGAAGGCAGGGTGGACTGCAGTAAATTACCGCGATTGTACACAAACATTGATTTGACTTCAGCTCACAACTGGCCACTTCGCAGGTGCAATGCGATTTGGCATGCCTTATTGGAACTTGCTGTGTGTGTGTGTGTGTGTGTGTGTGTGTGTGTGTGTGTGTGCGTTGTATGTTGTTGAGGCCAGTTTGTTTCGGTCATTCGTAGTGCTAATAATGTGAGATTATTTCATCTGATCAAGGACTTGTGACAATGAAGTTGCAGTCGATGTATGTGAAGAATGTTTTTGAATATTTCCTGTGGATGTTAGGTGTAGATGTGAATTGTGACTTTCTCGATGAGTGATGGCGTTCGCTTTCCCTGTTCGCCTGCGTTCAGAAAATTTGGCTTGGAGTAATTGTGGAGGAATAAGTTTAAAGAGTGATATGGAAGTGAATATCTGGTAGAAGTGTATTGGTAGTGCAGTTCTACTGAATAATAGAATTGATGGATGTGTTGATTTGTGATGTACATTATGTGCTAGTATATCTACGCATCCATTGACAGGACAGCATATTAATTCGATTCATCAGTTCGGTTAGCAGTTTCTCTTATTTCTGTCCGTTTCGCTTCCTCTCTGATTTGTTGCCAATATACCGTTGTACATATAAGCAGAACTCTCATAACAGTGCCTCTTGTAACTTCCAACCAACCAATTCTCAGCAAATATATTCTAGATGTTTATCGGTTCCTTCATACTTTAATACTGATGCCTTGACAAGTATCGCTCTGGACAATTTGCATCAACCATTACCAGGTTTCATTTCAGTGGTATTCGCTACACGCACTTACTGGAATAAGTACACATAAGACGGATTCAAGTAAACCATAGCAGATATTTTCCTATCACTTATAATCATGGTGAGGCAATCACCGTCTGAATGAACATACTTGAAGGCGGAAGGTGGTGGCAGACGATCTTAAATAGTGTCAAGCACAAACTGCCTTAGTATTCCCCTGTCAGCATCTATCCTGAAGTTAGTTGTGAGGCTGAAGTTCAGACGAGTAAGTAGTTCGGAAATGGAGGGAGATGTTAGTCACTGACAATACCTATCGTGACTCGTTCAGCACTATGCACTGGGCACCGACTCAATAATAACACATGATTATGTAGTGTAGGAATGCTAATCCGTCTGCTAACCTGAGGGATTTTCTATCTAACTGATGATATTTCGTGCAATG